GGGGGGGGGGGGGCGTGGATTTGGCCATGGTGTTCACGATTGTTGCCCCTTTTTCCGGACTTTCCGTTGGACACTCGAAACATCAGGCAGCAGAGCTAGTCCTTGAGTGGAAGGGCGAAAACGAGAGGGTAGGGGGAGCAAGTCGTAAACGACAGATAGATCACTGCGATCAGAACGACGCCAAGTAAATAGTGCGAATGCTGATTTTTCACAAACGTTTGCTATTGTACATTGTTGGGGTGGCGCCAAGTCCACGAGCACGGGACTGGTGACCCGTCGATGCGCCAGACCTTCGCTGAACCTCGCTCTCAAGCAGCCGCCCAACCTCCTCAGCCCACCGCTGCTGCTGAATAAACAGTTACCCCATGAATATGGGCAGTAATTCAAGTCTCAAAATTAGCCAGTTTCATGCAGGCTGAACGTAGGTTGTCTCGTGCACTTGCAGCCGTCTTTGACCCTCTTCCGTATTCGCGCAAACCCGAGGTTCTAATCACTAGTTGTCAGTGATGTACAAAATATCTCAGGCAGGAACCGCAGGAGGGGGTCCAACCCCCCCCCTCCTGTGTGACCCCGGTTGGGTCGTCTAGCTAGTAGAAGTGGAGGATAGGGGCCAGAGGGGCAGACGACAGAGTCCAATGATGGGAGAAAAAAAAAATACCCATGACCGGTGATATATAGGTAAAAGGGTAAGCGGGGTCGGTAAGGTAAAAAANTGTCTTGCCAAAGGCGCAGCTGCTGCAGCTCTCCACACAGTGTCCCCCCCGAGCCGTGGCAGACCACCTTCACTCTGACACACGCACACTGAAAGACCACCATGGCTTCTTGGAGCGCGCTTTCGTGGACACCCGTGGTGGAGGAAGCTGTCGATGATCTCGTTGACGGATTCTCTGGGACGTAGATAAACATTTTTTTCGCTTGTTCTATCCAAAACTCAGACTTGTTCGGGGAGGAGATGAGGAGGCCATGTACGGGAAAGTGCTAAACTTTGAAGAAACTTGAGCCTTTATCTGGGATGTTGTTTTTTTCCTTTTCTTCTATTGATAGATTGATAGTGCTGTCAAGATGGGGAGCTGTAGACGAGAGGTGAGCCGCACCAGCAGCCCTCCCTGCATCCTGCTCATCACCCGCTCACACACGAACTAACATACATGCCTAACACAGAACGCCCTGTTGCCATACAAATTTGAAAGGCAAAAAGCTATACTGTAGCATCACGTCAACACCGAGAACTTTTCAGTATTCTGATTGCTGTTTACTAGCCCACATTGTTCTCTGTATAGAATACACGAAGAAGGTGCCAGAACGCAAACAATGTGGGGGTCACAGCGTCAAAGCATCAAAGTAACAGTGTATTGGGGTGGTGTACCAGCGCTCCGAGCAGCACACAGCACCATAAAAAAATAACCTGGAAGCCCCGGGGACAGCAGTCGTTTTCCATCCCCGCTTTTGGCAGAAATTACCGGTCGGTACAGCCGATTGCTGGTTTCGGTGTGCTACAGGTCGGTAAAGGGATCTGACCCGGGTAATGTACATCACTGCCAGTTTTGAGGGACGCCTGGGCCCTTCCCTCACGCACTTCCAACCGTTTTGCTTTCTTTTTTGTATGCGGTCGCGCACACTTGCAATGGCAGATTCTCTCAAGAGAATTTTTCGGCGGAGTCTCGGTCTTTCCCTCTGCCGTCCTCTTTTTGCGTGCGCGTCGTTGCGGTTGTCGTGCTGTTGTCGTCCCGACACGAAACTAAACAACATGCTCGTGCACCCAAACGTAGGTTCTCAACAGCAGTTTTGAGGGATGCCTCAGTCGGTACGGTGGCGCGGCGCTGTTCGCGTGCGGCGCGAACATCTACGAGTCCACGTTCGACAGCAACGAGGCCACCGGGCTCTTCGGCGCCATCGTGAACGGAGACCTCTCGGACGAGGAACGGGCTAACGCCACGCTTTCGCTGGGCGGAGGCGGGCAGAGCGGCAACTACACGTGCCCACCCTTGTTCGTGTCCGGCACTATGTTTGAAAGCAACAGCGCGTCGACGGGGTATGGCGGAGCCATCGCGTCCGTGGACTCATCGCTGTCGGTGTTCAACTCGTCCGTGCTGAGTTCGCTCGGAGGGGGCATCTACTTCGGGACTTCGGACGACAGCGGTCGGGATCAGCTTGAGGTGAAGGAAGAGTTTTTTTCGTTGTATCCGCTTGGGGGTTGTTGGACGAGCCGACTTGTTGCCGTCAACAAAGGATCTGGAACAAGCATGAAGTAGTTCCTGTCCCGAAGGTGAAATAAAAGTTGGCATCTATTACCTACCTGGATGGTCGCTTCCGACAACAACGCTTCCGTCAATAGAGGGGGGGGGTGTAGTCGTTTTTTTTTCGCTTGCTTACCTCTGCTGTGTGTCTTGATGATGCTGGAGACCGGGTTAGATGGCCAGATTGACTGCTTTGCCGCGTGGCGTGTTTTTTGTTACATGTACACACCCTGCGTGCCGAGAGGGCAAGCAGGCGAGGTGTTTGCAACAGGAAGATGCCGCACGCCTTCGTCACGTCCGCTTTTGCCGGGTCGTGTGGCATGCGTTGCCGTTCCTACCTCTTAGCTTTGAGCCCTGACGAAAGCGTGCTAAAACAGTTTTGTTTTTGTTTTCTGCATCAACTGCTGTGGTCCCGCGCCCTTCATAAATGCGCAGAGGGTGAAACGCCGAGAAAACCCTCCGCTTAACGACCGATTGATCACTGTCAAGCTTACAACTCGTGACCATCCGGCCGTTTTCTCCACATGCCGAAACTTGAATCGCCGGATAGCCTTGTCGTCGACCGAAGGACTAATCCAAGCAAAATTCCCCCCGCCTCCCCGTCACATGAAACTTGGCGAACCAAAAAACGCTGCGAGCAGCTGGAACTCCTCCAGTTCAACTGGAACGGCGGGTCCGCCTCCAGCCCCGACCTCGTCGGTTCGGCTTTGCTGCTGGAGAGGACGGGTACCCCCGCCTCCAACACCACGGGGCCCCTGGAGCAACTGGACCCTTCGACGTCCTCGGCTTCGTCTTCGTCGGTTGCGACCGCGGCGTTGCAAACGGTCGGTGGCTCTTCCTCCTCCGCCGCCGCCACCGCCGGTTCGACCCTCGTCGGGGTCGCCACGGACATATACTGCTTCCAGAACGATCCGTACGACTGCGAGGCGTACTTCGGCGATAGCGACGGCGAGATCGCGGTGCAGCTCACAGGCACGGTGCGGTGCAACGTGTGCCAGGGCTCCGCCTTCACCGGGATAGGGAGCGCGGCGGGGGCGCCCACGCCGGCCCCGATCGTCACCGATGACGACGACGGGCTCTCCCAGATGGGGCAGGAGCGGGCCCAGGGCGGAACCCCGTCCCCAGCGGGCGTCGACGGCAGTAGCAGCAGCAGCAGCGGCGCCGGCAGCGGCTTGGGCCTTGTGCCCGAGGAGGAGAGCGAGCCGGAGCTGCTGGGCACGACGGGGACGATGAGGTGGGTGGTCGTCGGCCTGATCGCCGCGCTGGGCAGCGCGCTGCTCATCTGCCTGTGCATGCTGACTGTGTGCCGGAGGAGGAAGGGTCGGGGCGAGAGAGCGTTAGAGATGGCGGACGGCGGCGGCGGTGGTGATGCGGAGGAGGGGAGCACGTCCGCCATGGTCGGCCCCCGCCCGCTGTCTACGTCAGCTGCCGCCGACGATACGGCCGAGAGGGGGCTCGGGGTGACAAGCAACAGCCACGGCAACGGCGGCGGCAGCAGCAAGAGTCAGCACGAGTTTTGGGCCACCTCGCCGGGAACCTCTGCCGCCGTCAACGTCAACGGCGAGCAGTCGCAGTCGCAGTCGCGGTCGGGCTCGCGGCGAACGGTCGCTGGGGCTGCTGACCTGTCGAGCTCGAGCTCGAGGCGGCCGAGCGGGACAGAGTCGTCGCGGTCTGTCTCCCGGCGACCCAGCGGAGCTGGTGACTTGTCAAGGTCCAGCTCTCGGAGGCCGAGCGGGAATGGGGAGGGCGGCGGTGGGCGCGACCCTCGCCGAGAAACGGTAGACTCCGCCGTCGCCGTCGTCAACGTCGAGACGCCGCTTTCCTCGGAGCTCAGGGAGCGCGAGCTCGCCCGGCAGAGGTCGGTCGAGCTCAACGCGGCCAGGGAGGAGGAAGGGTGGATGTCCCCCCCGCTCGTGAGCGCCTGGGGGGAGGGGGCCGTCGTCGGCGGCAAAGGCCACGTGGCCCTGTCCGCCCGCAACACGCCGACGAAGCGGGGCTTCGCCGCTCTGCCGGAGGACGCAACGGCGGGAGAGGAGAGGAGGGGCAGGCGCGGGTCGAGGAGGGGGGCGGCGGCGGCGGCGGCAAGTCGTCGCGGCGGCGAGTCTTCGCCGTCGCAGGGGAAGAAGCGCAACCATTCCTCCGCGGAGGCGGCGGAGGCCGCTGCCGCCTCGGTGTCGGTGCCCAGGGGGATGAAAGGCCGGAAGAGCAGGAGCGCCGGAAGGTCCAGGAGCGGAGCGCGCCCGTTCGGCGGTGGGCGAGAATCAGACGAAGATGAGGATTCGGAGGCGCCGGCACCGAGCAGGGGCATGAAGGACAGGAGGAGCAAGAGCGCGGACAAGGCGATCAGGCACGCATTTGCGCCCCAGGACGGGTCAACCCTGCTGTCCGAGCGCCGGGAGTCTAGGTCGAGTCCGCGGGCCTACGGCAGCGGCGGCCTCACGGCCAGCGGGAATCCGAGAAAGATCAAGCCCCCGGCAACGGGAGGGGGCGACTCGGGTCGCTTCACGCCTCCCAGAGAGACAAGCACGGACAGGGCTCTCGCCCGCGCCGTCAAAACCCCCGCGGGCGGCGCCCGCCTGCCGATCAGCGTGGCGGCTGCGGCGGGCGGTGCATCGGTCGGGCCGCCGCGTGGGTTGGGGTCCACCACCACCGCCGCCGCCGCCGCCGCCGATGCCGCGGGGGTGGCGGCCGAGCTGGGGCGGCGGCAGCGGGGCGGGGAGGCCGCGGCCGTCATCTCGGCGGAGGTGAACCCGTTCTACTCGCGCGGCGGCGAGTCGTCCATTCGCGGCGGTGGCGGCGGTAGCAGGAGCCCCAAGAGCAACGGCAGTCGTAGCCATTCCCGGGTGTCGAGCCGAAGCCCGCGGGGCGACAGGAGTTGGGGCGGCAGGAGCCGGTCGCGGTCGAGCTCCCGCCGCGGGGATGAGCGGGTGGCGGCGGGCGGCGGCGGCGACGGCGGGGGTTGGGCGGCGGAGATGTACCGCGTGTCCTCGGGGCCGCGGAGCGCAAAGGTCTACAGCGGGAAGTTTGGCCCCACGCAGCCCGGCTGGGGTGAGGAGTAGGAGGGGATGTCGCCCTTCAAGGACGGCAGGCACGATGGCCAGCTGCAGTAGTAGATGCTTTGAATATTCAGAGATGGCCTGTGTAGGGGCACCATATCTCCGAACGTCTGTCGAGGACGATTGGTTCCCTTTTTTTTCACACATCGGAGTTCTTTTTTCGGTCTGCAAAACGTTCATGTGTGTGGTTGTTTGTGTGTAAATGCCCGCGCGAAGTCTGGTTTGTGGATTGTGGTTGCTAGAACGGTTAGCATTTATTGTTTTTTGTGTGGTCAAGGTGTTGTTCGGCGGCGGTGTGGCCAACTCAAGGCTCTCTCGTCCATGCTGAAGGTACAATACGGTGTGGACGCCACGGCGTGGAAACGACAACCTATTATTTTTTTTCGTACTAGATACCGCCGCGTCGAAAAGCCGCTTCGGGATGTGTTTTTTTTTTTTCTTTAGGCGTAGCTTCCTTCCTTCACGTGTATCAACAATGGTGAGTGTAGAGTAGTTGACAACAGGCGCCGGAGCGTACATGTCATTTCTGTGTTTCGGTGACACGATGTTTTGCTGTTTTGAGGTGCGGGGGAACTCCAGGTGGTTCTACCAGATATCCGTTGCGTGCTGCTCGCTGTTTGGTCGATCGGTTACGCGGTCGATCGGCTAACGTATGCGCACGACTGGATCCGGCGCAAGAACGTCATTTTCTGGCCTGTTACATGCATGGTACGAGGTATTTTTGATTGGTGTGTCGGCGGCGTAGGTTGCCGTGGATCAGTACGGCCATGTCCGGAGGAGGTGAAGGTCTGCTCTTCTGGGGCCGCACGGCGGTTCTTCGGTGATCTCTCGCCCCGTGGGCGTTGCTTGAATCATGGGAGGCGCTTTGTTGTTGGCGGGGCCGCGCCGCTCTTGCTTGTTGTTTCAAGTAGAACGGAGGTAGGCTCTGTGTATGTGTGCATTGTTCGTTGCGTTTCGGTTTAATATATTTTCTTCGTTTTGGATGTTTGTTTGAGTTTGTTTCTACCCGCTGACGTGATGGTAACGCGGAGCCTTTTTTTTGTTTGTTTCGTGCGCTTGTAGGAGTTAGATATTACAGTAGGTGGCGCCTTGGGGCTGCATGAGCACCCGCGTGAGTTTTTACGCAACGCGGTCGTACATTATTGGTGCATCACTGTTGCGCGAGGGTCGCTTGATTGTTGGTGTGTTGATATATTTCTGGTGCAAAGAACTGGGTGGCGCTGTTCTTGTTTTCCTTGAAGGTAGCGGTGGATTGCCGCAAGAACGGTGTTCTGTAGTTGCTATTCTTGCACGACAATAGGTCTTGCTAGTTCGTGTCTGCCCACGTTTTTTGAACACCACTAAGGCAGACGTTTGAGTTTTTCTCTCCAAGTTTCGAAATTCCACCTGTCGGCAAATAATCCGACCGGCGCGCCGCGAAGGTGTCTCTCGTCCAACCAACCGTTAACGGTCAAGTCTTAGACACGACCGCCTTTCTTTTCGTAATGAATCTGGCTTGCCGTTTGCTTGTTGATGATGTGGTACGGAAGTAGTGCAATCGATTAAATGGGACAAACGTCGCGGCAGTGAGGTGCTGGTTTGCGCGCGTTTATTATAGCGTATTGACCGTTGTTTCCGTCGACACGGGGTCAGCAGCCGTCCGTGTCGTGGAAAAACAGTTGATTTTTTTTTTATTCTTGTCTTGTCTTGTCTTGGGAAGAACCTTTTGCCCTTCCACACAGATTATGTTCTCTTTACCAAGTGCGCACAGCTCTTTTTTGAAGTTGCAGGCACACCCTCACTCGAAATTGTTGTATGTAGGAAGTAGTTCATGCTGTTTCCCGGATGTCATCGGCTAACATGTTCCACTTTCAGCTATGCTGAGTCCGCGTCCGATTTCATGGAACGTTTTCATTCACAGGTTGCCGGCCGGTCGCCGGGTGATCTGATTGGTCACCTTCAAACATCTTGACGAGCTCAGGTTGGCCATGCGATTGTCGGCGGAATAACTTTGTGGCGCAAGTGTTTGCGTCTGGTTGTGATACTTTTCAGAACGCTGTGGTTCTCTGTGAGATGTTTTGAGGGAAGAAGCCAGAGGCTGGGTCGGAACGTGCGATTTCGGGCGGAATGATGTTAGGACATTTTTTTCCTTGCGCGTGACGTGGTCACAACTAGTAGCTAGCTTCTGACGTTTGAGACCCAAACAAACGTGAAAAGCGAAAAGCGACAGCTTCGTGTGTATGGTGAACTCGACTTGACGTTGGACGAGGCAAAGGACCGGCTGAATCCATTTCGCAACAAGAATCAAGGCACGCACCACAAAAAGAAAGACCGAAAGGCATGCACACAAGAACCGATGTCCAGCTCATCGCAGGAAGGGTTTGTTCTCCGTGAAGTCACTTGTGGAAAGGAGCCGCGAAACCCACAGATGATCAAAAGCATGAACCGCACCGCGCACAACGCAGTGATCGTTTTTCTGCTGCCGTGCAATCTGCGATCAAATACATTTTAGTCAAGGGAGCTACGACCGCAGGATATGTGTGTTCCACCAAGTCCAAGCGACGATGCGAGACACTTGTAACGGCCACGGGTATAGCATTAAAACACCGGGGTGACGCACGGGGCATAAATGTGTTCCCGATCCTGCCCCCCCCCTCGCCCGCGAATGCTTCTCTAATAAGCAACGGAACGCGAAGTCCTACAATGGAAATAAACTCGTTGCTCGTGTTTTTGCGGACGTGCCTGTGTCTTCTTAGTGGAGCTTTCATTTCTCATGAAGAAAAACATCTGGGGCTCCAAAGTCTGGCCGAGGCTGCCCCCGGCCTGCTATGTATTTAGTGGAACTGACCATCAGGTCTGAACCGAAGAACCCCGACGTACAATACGTACCCCAGCTACCAGAGTGTCATGCCTCGCAAGCACGCTGCTCGAACTCAAACTCAAGACAGCACAATACTGCTCGAACTTCAACGAAACAACAACGCAAACTCGGTGCCTACTATTGAGGAGTGAACCCATCTCACTACAGCACGCCGTTTACAATGTTGTTCTTTCCCGCGCTCGTTAAGGCCCCTCCCGACATCGAACCACCGCGGGCCAAGCAAAACATGAGCCGTTACCCAAGCCAAGTCTTGGGGGCATTAGTACCCCTGATTCGGTGTTTCTGTCTTCAAAATATTAACCGAGGTATCAATCAATGGATCAGTCCTGTTTTTAAGCGGTGAACTTGACGAGGTCGAGGTTGAACTTCTTCGCCGCCTTGTTGAGACCGTACTTGTCGATGGTCTTGATCGCCTTGGTCGACAGCCTAAGCCTGACGAATCGCTTGCCCTCCTCCCAGTACATCTTGCGCCACTGCAGATTCAAGTGTTGCACCTACGCGCGTTCCATTCGTTGGTTGGTTGGGACGGAAAGAGGTACATCGAGGGAACAAGAATAAGATTAGATGGTTGTGTAGCAAGAAGCACACCAGGGCACAGTACGAATGGATGGATGCACAATACAGCATGGTCAAGTCACCGGAGAATTCACGTGTTGCACCTGCAATGATAGCTCCTTGCAAATGGTCGAGACACACACCCAAAAAACATCCAAAGGGGCGCAAATGCACATGTCAAGTCATTCCAAAACAAATGGCGGCCAAGCAGAAGCGAAGGGACAGAAGAGCCGAGTCTTCAGTGGTTCCGATACGGTAGAATGGAGGCAAGGGCAAGCTATTTACAACCCCCCCTGGTTCTTGGCTGTGCGCTGTTGACTTCTTTCTGTACGGGCGGCGACAGAAATCACATCCGTCATGACTTCCAGCCAACGACGGTAGTTCGAGTGGCGAGATGCAAGACCGGTCCTATCATGCGTGCAAGACGGTTTGGTTAGCCACCCGGCCCACGCCTCAAAGGACACTCACCCTCTCAAGAAACAGGCGCGAAATACAAATGAACGGTGAGACTACACTACGGCTAACGACTTCACCAGTTGCCCATCGCAGTTTGACGTAGCAAGCCACGCACACGTACGCCAGCCATCTCCTCTCCTAACTTTGCCGATGTACACAGCAATACGTTTGTGCGAGACTGCCAAGCATACACCTACACCTGTCATCAAATAGTTCCTACTTCGTCGGAACATGGTGATGTTTCAGGTTTCTTTTTTCCGGCCTCACTAGGTGCCATCTCACTCCGCTGTTTGCCTTCCCACTCCGAGCTCTTCTTCCACCAACGTGGACGTCACACGTACCCCTTTGGATTTCCTACCGGCAGCCCCCCCCCCCCCAATTTTTCCCCAGTCACGAACCCCCCGCCCAAAGGAGGATAAGCCGGGCGACGACACCAAGATGAAAAAAGCTTTACAGTAGTGGTCTCAGACTAACGCCGGTGCGATCCAGCCGATATCACCGGCACTATTCGGAGTATGAAAACAACTTGATTATCATTCTTTGTGTGCCAGACGATTTCACCGGCACTACACCGAGACCGACGTTACAGCCTTTGCCTATACCCCGCCGCCCCCCACCTTGTGGATGCGCTTGTGCGAGAACGTTACGACGCGGGCCTTGCGGTTGGGCTTCTTGCCCAAGAGGTCGCAGTTGCGCGCTCGCATCTGCAGGCTCGATGTTGGCGATGTTGCGCTCGACTTGGAAACCTGGCGGGAAGAGCATGAAATAGTTCCACGCCGTGCGTGGCATGAGGGAAAGAGACCGAGAGAAAGGGTCAAGGGATTGTAAATGATGCACGACAGAAAGGACAAACGGTTACAACTTGGGCTTGCAGCGTGCGTGGTATGCGGGGGAGAGAGACGGAGAGATAGGTCAAGGGACTGCTAATGATGCCGACAGAGAGGGAAAACGGGTCACACTTGCGCTCGTAAACAAAGGGTGAGCTAATGGCCGCTATTGAGACGGAAACCGGGGAGGGTAAAGAAGGTGCAAGAGACGGGTTAAGGTCGGAAGGAATCTCGACATATATGGGACGTTCCATGCTACACTTGGATAACAGCCACTCGAGGATGAAACACAGCGGACTTGTCGAGGTAAACGCCATGGAAGAGTCTTGGAAAACACGCTGTTGTTGGTGCGGCAGACCCGCAGAGGTCGAAACGCCTCTAGTCATGAAACCCACGGTTTTCCTGTCCCTTGGTAACTCAGCTGCTTGAAAGGTGATATGACATGAGGTTTTCGTTTGCCAAGGAGGCGAGGAAGCACCCCCTCTTTACCACCGCCGGACACACCGGTGCAACATGACTCTACATGCCGCCGGTCCCAAAAAACATACGGAAGGTTTCATGACGCAAGATACCACACCTTCTGGATTGTACCGACTTTAAAAGATTGATTACTCCACGCCGTAGAGGATGTACAAATCAAACAACACGTTTTCGGAAAGCTCTCGACGACAAGATTCTTGCGCTGCCATTTTTGGCACCGCCTCTGATATTCTGCAGAGCAGTCATGCTTTGAAAATCGGTCAAGAGGGTGTGGCACATATCTTACACAACGTACGGTACCAGGGCAGGACGCTGGACGTCTGCCAGCCAAAGCTTCTACCTTGGCAGGGTGCACAATCGATTGGTGGATGGGGACATGATTTTATCCCCAGATTCCTCTCGCTTACTAAACTCGAGTAGTACAGCGATCTCAGCAGGCTAGCAGGAGGCTCTACCGATACCGAGAGGTAACAGCGCAGCAATCTTGCATGTGTGAACCTCTTATACTGCTGTGCCCCGTAATCGGTTCTTATCTCTGTGGGCTTATCAACATGGACTTGGTGTATTGAGTAGGATTCTTGACGGAGCACCTGTTATTCTTTGAAGTACAAGCAGTAGTAAATAGTATAGTTCGAAGTACATCGTCGGTGCGGCGTGGAGGAGCAACAATCCAACACACAGGTCTTCAGCATGTTTGTTTGTCCACTGCTGTTGCAGGAAAACCGTAATCGCAAGCATTTCTGGGCGCATAGTCTTGAGATAAAGAGTGGAGGCAGTGCGTAACGCAGGGTTGGGCCCCTGTTTATGCCAACGTTCAACGAATACTGCTGTAGCAGCGCACAATGTTAGCTGGACAAAATGAACACCGGGTGCCGTCGTCGATGGGGCTGGGAAAGTTGTGTGCCGATGAAAGCAAGTGCGTGTTGCAGCATTGGGTCGTTTCGGCTGGGGTTGCATCGGCCGAAACAATCTCTCCTTGCAGGACGATAGGCAGCCTCAACATGTGATCTACGGGCCGACGCTTCGCCTGTCTAATCGTTTCCTGCTGAAAAACGTCTAGCAGTATGTACAGCAGTAGGTGAGATCGTTGCAGGTTTCTGCTGTGCTGCTGCTTACCGGGCGTGATTTGGCGATTTTTTTGGCTTGCGACTTGAGATTTCGCGAGGGAGCGAGGCTCTAACACAGGCATGCCTTCGGTGATAGGCACCCCTAAGGTGGATCAGCACCGAAGCAGGCTACTACTGAGATTCGTGGGGCCAGGAGGAGCTGTGTCAGGTGGGTCGTGCGCTGCGCCACACAAACATCAACATGGACGTGATGTGACTCTTCTCTCAGACAGCGGTGCGCACACACACACACGCATGCTACTTTGCCACTCATCGAAAAATGGTCAGCGATAGAGCTCGGAGCACCACACCCCAAGCATCGCCCGAGGGGAACATGGCACCTACCAACGCCCTCAAGCTGAGCACGTGGGGGGCAGTCATCTCTCGCCCTCAAGCTGAGCACGTGGGGGGCAGTCATCTCTCGTGAACTCATTGTCATGGCCCTAGGGGCATGTACATGAGGCGGTTGCACACACAGACCGGCCACGACCTCACACTTCCCCCTTCTAACGCTTGATCGAGCCATTATTGTAGACACACAGAGAGGAGAAGAATCAGCAATCCACCGGACGAGCGACGCAGGGTGGATGCCAACAAGCCCCAACGGTGCAAGCGTTGTGTGTGTAGAGGAGGGGTACCAGGGTACGCAAACGACCTACAGGAGGATGTTGTTGTTGTTGCTGAGGACTCACCACGCTTGAGCCGGCGAAGGCTGACGGCGCAATCATGAACCCGCTCGCCAGCTGGCAGAAGAGCACCGCCATGGCGCCCGCGACCGCAAAAATCTTCATGCTTGTCGACCCCTCTCTCCCTCTCTCCCTTCTCTTCTATCTCTCTCTGTATCACCGTTCGGGTGCCCACTGTTTCGGTCGCAGCCTCACGTGTCTGTGCTTCGTCCTCCAAGCCGTCAGGAGTTGCGAATGCAGTTGGCAACGTTTTTTTTTTTTATGTAACGACTTTTTGTTTCATTTTTGCAGACATTGCCTTATTATTGGGCTTGTCGTTTCTCGAAGCAAATGCCGCCGCTGACGGCCTCTTTGTGCCGCCCAGTCCTGTCTCTTCCTCCCGCAGCAACCGAGGGGGGGATGGTGACGACCTACGAATAGACAGGTGTGCTTCCAACATGAACAGTGCTGCCGAACTCGTGGAGCTACGGAAGCAAGGCTCGATCACGCAGGAGGAATTCTTCGTTTCTCTTAATCAGCTGCGTCGGGCAAACACGGGTTCAGCGTCAACAATAGCAGAAGCTTCGGCCGAGGTCGTAGTAGTGGGCGGCGTTCACAAGTATCCTGCTCCTAGGGTCGACGGTTCTAGTTCGGCAGCCTCTGTCGTCGACACCGCCAGGAGGGAAGCAGAAGGAGATGAGATTATCGCAGAAGATTGTCCTGCTGATGATGACTGTGGTCGTGCGGTCAGCTACGGATGTGGGCCGGCGGAGACTCCACGGCCAGACACCGTTGCGGGATCACCTACGGTCGGGCCACTTCCCGAGGCCAGGCATCACATCTCCTCGATAACGGCGCAGCAAATCGACACTAACAGCGGCCGTGTTGATGATGTCTTGGTCGGCGCGAATTCGACTTCGCCGGGCGTAGATCGACCGCCTCTGTCCGACGGCAGCTATTCGATAGGTGGTATTGATGCAGAAGCGCGCTGCCAGAGGGAACCACGCCGATCGTTATTCCCAGAGGCAGAACAACAGCGTCGGGTTCCCGATACCGACGTCGTCGGGGGAGACTCACGACGCCAGGAAAACGACGAGATCGACGAGAAACATGACGAGTGCGAGGCAGCACCACACGCAAAGATCGCCGACCATGACTCCGGGTGGCGTATCTCCCCAAGCGGCGAGAGGACTCAGCAATCAACCGACAGTCGCCACCGTTCGTCGATTGCGAGCCCTGAGCGGCAGCGGCAGCACGCCTACCGAAGGATACCCGAGAATGATGATGGAGATCACAGCGTAGAACCCACGTCGGCAGCGGCGGAGGGCTTCAACGACTGCGGCACGGAGTTGGCGGTCACGTTTGAAACAGGACCGGGGGCAGATAAACACTCACGGCCGGGTAGTGTGCAGTTGGTAGAACCGAGCCAGCATCAGAGCAGCAGTGGCGGAAGCACCGGCGGCGGGAGGTCCTGTCGATCGCAACCAGCCACGCCGTTGGGTTCCTTAGATGGGCATGGGGGCTGTAGCAAGCCAAGGTTGGCTGCGGGAATTTCGCCGAGGAAGAGCGACGGTGACTGCACCGGTGACACCATTGCTAACACTTTAACGCGCTCCGCACCTAAACCATATTGGCGGCCGGCTGGCGGGGAATTGTTCCAACCGCGTTGGCCACGTTGCAGCAGCACCACCACCAACAGGCGACAGTTGTCAAGGTCGAAGCCAAATACACCATCTCCTTTAAGACCTGGGAGAGGTGACACCTGTCAGGGTGGTGACCATGCCGACTCCGGCGGCCGCCCCGCGTGGGGGGTTAGGGTTACCCCAAGAAGGAGTATCGATTGCCCGACGATGGCCTTGAAAACAGAGCGGTCACCAGCCAAGCCCCCATGGCGGCCGGCCGGGGAAGTAGATTTTCAGCCGCGCTCCCAACAGAGCAGCAGGCACTGTCGCTCGCAACCCACCGCCACGCCTTCGGGCTTCTCTTCCCAGGGCACTGCCTCTGATCCGACGATGGCTACGGTGTGGAGTGACGCGACCGCAAGCGCTGGGAGTGGGTATGTCGAGGGAAGCGAAAGACGACATCGCCTCGGCAACACGTGTCCTCCCGACCCCAGCCGGGCTGCGTCACCACAGCAGCTCCGACCAGAAGCACACAGAGAAGGCAAGGCATCACCACCAGCAGCAGCAGCAACTACACCGGGGGGGCACAGATCGGCAGCTACGCCTTTCTCCAGCCGGCGAAGACGACGACCGGGCAACAACACCACCACCGCTGAAGAGAAAGACGGTACAACCACCACCCCGCAAGCAGGTCAAGCACCTTCAATCAGTCCCACGCTTGTACCCCACGTCGGCGATCGCCACGACCTGGATGACGACGACAACGGCGGCGTAACCGGTGCCGGTACAGGGCTTCCAATGGGCGCGGTGGGCGGCCTGTGGCGGAGCAGAGGGAGACATCGAGAGCCAAGAGGCGCACCTCGGCGCCGGCACAGCGTTAACAGCACCGGCAGCGTCGGGAGCTTTGACTCCGACCGCTACTTCACGACGGCGGTGCGGTGTGACCGTTTCGGGTACCCTTTGCACGAGCGGGAGTGCCTGGGCAGCTACGGCGCCGGCGCCGGCCTCAGTGGCGGGCGAGGGCCTCGATATTCCCCCATGATCAAGGGCTTGCCAGACTTTTACGAGTCTCGGCCGAGGCGCCAGAGCCGCGATGATGAGTCCTTGGGGCGAAGAACCCACGGGAATAACCGTGAGGCGCAAGCGGGTAGGTCGGCGTCGCTGTACCAAAGGACCACGGAGTGGCAGGCAAAGGCGAGCGAGGTCAGGTACGAAATCGGATTATCTGCCCCCCTTTGCGATACGTGCGCGGTACACGCCACCAACACGGTAAAGGTTGGGGATGACCGTAGTTCGAGCGTATATTTGATCGAAGATACCGATATGTAGGGCTTGAAGTGTGTATACCGTACGTGTAGGCGAAATATGTAACCAACAGTCGCTGTCCTTCCGGGCTTGCTGTTGCCTCACGTGCTCAACATACATAGAGATACCCTTGGGCCGACTGCCGAGCCTGTTTGTGGGTCCGTCCTCCTGCAATCACGAACGATCACGGGTCAATCTTGTATCCCTATTTTGACTCGAGTCTCCGCTGCGTGCCTCCGGAAGGACGACTTGCTGCTTGCGCGCTCATTCCATCTCCACCACCCTCCCCGTTGGCAACCCCGCTCGTTGTTTCTTTTCTGTTTTTTATCGCCGCTGGAAATTGATACCAGAGCACGCAAGCTTGCTCAGCGCGAAGAGCAGGAGCTAAAGGACTGCACTTTCCAGCCGAACGTGCCGCCGCGAGGGGCGCTTGTCCCCAGCAGCGTCACGAGGGTCGCCGAACCTATCGGTAACGGTCATGATTGTGTCGGGACGAGCTCGAGTTGCAAGCCCGTAGAAAACGATGACGTAGGGAACGGTAGTGTTGGGGATGCCGGCGGTGGGGGTGGTGATGGTGGTGTTGATGCTGGTGGTACGTTTGGTGGCAGTGGAGGCGGCGCCGGTGGCTGTGGCGGTACTCACGGTGGTGAAGCAGGCGAAGGCACTGCCGTCGGTCCTAGGAGCGTAGATAAAGAAACGCGCTCGTCAGTGAGCAGCAGGGGGGTCGCGGTTTCTCCTCCTTCGCAGGGTAGAGGGTGCCCGGGGAATAATGTGATGCAGCGGCTTTTCGACGAGACCCGGCGGCTGGATGAACGAAGGTTTGAGGGTCAGGAGAGGAAAAATATGGCGGCGGAGGAGGAATACGCGCGCACGTGTACATTTCAGGTGAGCCAAGCCCCGTCCTCGTGGGGGCAAAAAGCGGAAACAGGCGGCACCGGCTGAGACCGTGGCAGTTCAATTCAGTACGTACGCCTTGATTTTGTCTGGGTGCTGTAGTAGTACTGTAGCGGTCTCTTCTTTTTTTTATGTATCAGGCTGGCGGCCGGCGAAATAGCGCGACACAGATGTACAATATTCCTTGTAGGCTCATACTCTTGCATTGCGACGGGTGATCGGCATAAGGCAGGTCGAATGCCTTGGCACAATGCGGCCTTACACAGGGACCACCGTTGTGCAAGGGGTAAGGTTTCACAGCGTGATGACTCCCGCTTCAGAACCCCCCACATCACTGTTCCTGATCAGCTTCTCCTCCTTTATTGGGCCATGATGCCGCTAGAGCTGTCAGGTGCTTGAACGGCCGCCGAAAAAGTCCGAAAATCGACTCAATCACCTGCACACAAAGCGAACTCGGACTACGTAGCGTGTATAGTTTCTTCACTTGCTAGATCCAGCGCCTTTGCTCTTCATGGAATATTCGGAAGCTGTTTGTTTACACCCACACCCGCAATCACCACTTGTTCCGTTGGTTCCTTTCCCGGCATGCCTACCCCCGCCAACGCTTTCAGCCCTCTCTGGTGCAAGGGAAGTCCACGAGCTCAACCATCCGAGTGGCATCTCGATATCGAGACCCACCACGGGCAGCGTCTGCCCCCCCCGCGGGCAGGAGGCGAGATTTTGACCAGGAGGACCTAATTTTTCATCCCAAGGTGTATCTTGTTATTGTTGTTGTTGTTGTTATATTTTTGTTAAGAAACTCTCCCAGCCCCTGGTCAGTACCTTCTAACATTTTTTTTTTTTCCCTTCTAACATCTGTACCGGTCCGACTGACGCGGACGCCATATGTGGTCACAGGCCAACTTACCCCATAAAAAGGGCACGACACACTTCGAAAAGAAAACTTATTTCCGCCAGCGAATATTTGTTGAATTGGTGACACCAACGCCCCCCGATCGCGCCTCGAACTATAGCCGGATACAGGCGCAGTTCTGGGGGTCGTGAGAAAACACCTGCGACAACAGCGGTCTGTATCTGTCTCGTTTGACCTCGGTGTCTTTCTCTGTCTTCCATCTGTTTGTCCGTCTTTCTGTCTGTCTGTCTGTCTGTCTGTCTGTCTGTCTGTCTGTCTGTCTGTCTCTCTGTCTGTCTGTCTCTCTCTCTCTCTCGCTGTCTCTCTCTCTCTCTCTCTCACTGTCTCTCCCTCCCTCCCTCCCTCCTGTCTGTCTGTCTGTCTGTCTGTCTGTCTGTCTCTCTCTCTCTCTCTCTCTCTCTCTCNTCTCTCTCTCTCACTGTCTCTCCCTCCCTCCCTCCCTCCCTCCCTCCTTTCCTCCGTTCTACCTCCCTGGCCACTTTACCCCTCAGATCTTGGGAGTACAGCCCGGAATGACCCGAGCCCTCGCATACGTGAGCATCGGTGTAACGCAGCGGCTGTATCAGCCTCGCCCCAGTAACAACACTCAGCAGATTAGGCGGGCAGAAACGGGCTATCACTTGAATTCGGAGGTGGGCCCATCCCCTGTACTGCGAGTTTTTTGCCGTATTCTTCCTGCACAGCGCACTGCTGTACTCATGTTATTGTTCGTGAGAAAATGAAAGCGAAAGCTTTGTTTCGTGTCTGGTCACTCGCACAAGTTTTCTTAACATCTACGTTTATGTGTTCCCCATGCCCCCCTCAGCCATTCCTTCGTTGTATAGTCGTGGGTGCTCTTAGGGTGGTTATTGTCTCGAGGCATCGATACTCAAGAACACCCCAAATGGTGTTTCCCGTAGAATAGGGCGGGTGCCCACTACATGGCGGGTGAGTTGGCCTGGCACTTGCCGGCCTGTAGAGGGACCCCGACCGTGCTCTGTTTCCAGGAGGTTCAAACCCTATCTACGGCTATCGTACGGCCTTGCCTTATCCGTCGAGGAGATACGAAGCCGGGTCACGTGGAGTAGATGATGTGGTGAACACCTTCCGTTCTGTCTCGAGAAGGGTCTATCCTACGTCCCTCGTCAACAGCTTGGTACACAGTTGTAACGGATACGGCTTTGAGAGATAACTCGAGCGAAAGCACGGGTTCAGGAGAGGAAGAACGCGGCTTGTCACGGCCATGAGAGACACCTCCTTCCCACCGCACCTTTTACGAGAAGGCCAGGGCTAAGAGAGGTCAAGCTGCCTTGGCAGCACCCTCTCTGATCCCGAACATTGCAGCTACTCACCCAATGGCGACAGCACAGCAAACAAAGCCAACCTTGATCTTTCATCTGTTTGTTCTTATCAGGACTATGCTGAAGACGACGAAGACAGCGAACTGGATGAAGGACGCCGAGAAGCTTCGAGGAGCCCCGCGCGGCCTGAGCGCCACCAGCGCGACAGGAATGGTCGTCGCTGGGTACACCATGAGACTAACAACCACTACCACCACCACAGCAACGACGACGACAGCGATAGCAGCGGCAGCGGCGACAACCTCACGTACCCTGGCCGCTCTCGAGACGACGACGGCGGCGATGGGTCATGCAACATATCGCGGCGGGGCCGTAATCGTGACCATGACAGGTGACCCCTCCTACTCGGGAGGCCCTTGTATGTGGTTACCTCCCCTGTCTCGCAGAGAACGGAACGTGTTCCCGCTGATGACGGGGGCTCAACGAATACTTGCCCTGTTCTCTTGTTCGACATAACGCCTTTTTGTTGTTGAAAACCATGACGGGCTTTGCCACATGGGGACTGTTTTAGTGCCAGTTGCTTCTTTGCAGGGAGAGAAAGGCTCATCGAATGCTTGCCCCAAGAGAGTCCGATATTGTCCTTGCTCGAAAGTTGCTCATGTAACGCTATTTCTCTTGTCACAACCATGATGGTGCGTGCCAAAATGTGGAATCTGTGTGCTGGTGCCAGTTGCTTCTTTGGAGGGGGACGAAGGGCTCTCTACTTACAGCCTGTTGTTCTTTGCTCGAAAGCTGCTCATTTATGTAACGTTTTTTGTCTCTTTTCGAAAAACCCTTGACGGTGTTTGCCAAAATGGGGAATCTGTGTGCTGGTGCCAGTTGCTTGTTTGGAGGGCAAAGGGCCGCACCACCAGGGGGAGGGGCCGGGGGTCGACGACAATGGGTTTCGGCGAGAGAAGAGGGAGGGGTGCCCTGCCGCCAGCCTCGCTCCGCACCGGGACCGAGAGGAGAGCGGGAGTATGGTAGACCGGGCGCGAGATGTCCAGGAGAGAGGGCGGGAGGGCGGGGGCAGGGGAGGTGGATCCAAACGGACGGAGAGGGCAGAAGAGCCCGTGCTCATGGGGAAGGGGAGAGATGGGTGGATAGGAGTTCCGGAAGGGACGGTCGCGGTGGGGGGAAAGGTCCGCGGCGCCAGGTATGTTTCTTGGTTCGCGAATTTTCGCTGTAGCTTCGTGAATACAGTATCGATTCGCAGTTAACCACAACAATAAAGATCTAGAGTCTGTAGGTGTTTGGGTGCGGTAGCTCGTCAGAGGCCGAATGAGAAAGAAGGTTGACTCAAGACCTTGTTGCTTAGAGAGTGAGAGACATGCGGCAGGCAACACCATCGCCATGTAGCATGTGCATCAATACATACCATCCGCGTATCCCCCGGAGGCCCCGTAGACAGTATACTCTGCCGAGCACCCCAAACAACCCCCCTGCTCGGTACGAAATACGATCTACGAAATCCCTGTCGAGACTATCATTGCCAGGCAAAACGGCGGACAGAAAAATCAAAACCCCTATGCCAACAATACACCATCCACCATTCCAATCCAAACGACTCTGCCAATTGCACATGTCCCACGAAATCGCCGGATCTCCAACAGAACACGTCCTGCAAAGCTTTCAGACCTTTTTGATGTCAAACTTCTACCCCTTAAAGGTCTGTCAAGAAAAACAAATCACCCTCTTGAGAAAAATGCTCCACCAAATTCTCAAGCAGTCAAAAGACGAACAATCACCCTTGGAAAAATACCCAGCAAAAGATCAACATTACATGAGAATCACGTCAGAACGGGGAGGACAGGTGACTCCGGGAAAACGTGTCTTACGTCCTGACTACCCAGAACAAATTCATTCCTCAGATAAATATTCATGTTTTAACTTAATGACCAGTTCAACAAACGAGAACATGCCAATTCTTTCCTCCGATATCCAACACCTTGACAAAGAAACCAGTCCAGCAGCCCCCCCTGCTGTAACATCCATTCCATCCTGAACATGAAGTCAAAATCAAAATATTCAATCAATTCAACAGCCCCCCTGCTGCAGCATTCATCCCGAAAAATCAAAACCAAAACANTCCAGCTTACCGTTGTTTTTTTCCTCTGTATTTTTTTTTGGCGGTAACCATAATGGTGGTCGAGTAGATCATGTTGTGCGGGGTCGAGAGCCCTCACTTCGCGCAAGGGGGATGATCGCACCACGTTCTGTTAAAATGGTCAAGCACTCTCGAGGCAGTTACACAGCAGTGCTTACAACTGTCGCTGGAAGTGAAGCACCAGAAAATGAATTAAGTCATACGCAGCTGTCATCCGTACGCAAGGAAGTAGGCACAAGATGCCGAACACCCTCAGCAGGATGCAGCGCACCCTCCATGCTACTCGCCGAATGTCTCACAGCGCTTCGCGCTTGGTGATGTGAGAGCCTGGTCCGGTGAGAACCCGGCGTGCTCCGTCCCGGCTTTGTAGGGATGCGAGGTCAATGGTCTAACGACTACGGCATGCACGACTATGAGTACACCCCCCACCCCCACCCCCCCCGGCGGTCCGTTGTACAAGAAGGAGAGGGAAGTGTACGTGACTGAGCTGGGAAAAATAGATACACCCTCGAGGCAGTTACACAGTGCTTACAACTGTCTCTGGAAGTGAATCACCAGAAAATAAAACAAGTCATACGCCAGCTGTCATCCGTACGCAAGGNNNTACGCAGCTGTCATCCGTACGCAAGGAAGTAGGCACAAGATGCCGAACACCCTTGGCAGGATGCAGCGCACCCTTCATGCGACTCGCCGAATATCTCACGGCGCT